CTAGTCATGAATTAAGACATACAATTTTTTGCCCCAAACAAATTATAATGGCTAGCCTAAATTGGTCTTCTCCACATACCGACATATAGAGGTGAACAAACCGAACCGGAAAACTGTACCAAACCGAAAAGTCAAACCAAACCGATTGAAAAAATCCGAGTAGGTTTGGTTTGATTTGGTCTGGTATTGAGTAAAAAAATCCGAACCAACTGACATAAAAATATATAATTTTTATATATACTTTTAAGACATTTTATAGAATTTTCTTTAGAAAATGTCTAGAAATATTTGATGTAATATTTAATTAAATATAAAGTGCTACATATTTATTAACTTTAAATAATGGTTGTATGATCATTTTCTTATCAAGTGTTTGTGAAATACGCCAATCTCTTTGTTGATTGTTCTACCATATTCGTATGTCAAGATCTATTAACTTCTTATATCTTTTTCGAATTTGAAATGGTATTTCAACAATTTAAATATAATTAAATAGAACATATCATTATATAGGTTCATATTTATTTTTATGTTTAAGTATTAAATTCGGCTAACCTTGAAAGTGTACATCAACATAAAACTATTGTCAGACGACTAAAAAATAACTATCATGTGTTACTAAGAAAATTCTGCCATAAGAATATTTTAATAGATCATATATTTGTCAATTTTTTTAATTTTTACTAAAGATATATTTGCTTGTCAAAAATTTAACAAGGTAAGATTGAAATAATATTCATATTACCAAAAAACCCGAAAACACGAAAAACCCGACAAAATCGAACCAATCCAAACTGATATAGTTGGTTTGATTTGGTTTTGATAAAAATCAAACCAACCGGATCTATGTACACCTCTACCGACATACATTATTATAAAGCCTAAATCGTTCATCCACGTTCTCATTAAAGCTGCCGCATGTTCCTTAGGCTACTGCTGGTTTAATCCAGATTAACTTCATCATCCATCTAATTTTCTTATTTTTCTTTTTGAACAAATGTCTCCTGCTGGTTCTCATTAAACAATTGTAAAGCCTAAATCGTTCATCCACCAGCAGAAAATATGTGACTTGGCCATGATGAATTTTTGTCCTAACCTCATCATGTTTGATTTTTGCTTCTGTGCCACGCTAAAGCTAATAAGAAGCAAGTTTAAGAGCTGAAAATATTATGTGTTCTTCAATTTGAACGAGGGCTTTATATACACAAAGTACTTGTAATTAATTGATTTCGTTGATGCTACCTAAGAAGTTTCTGTCTTTTTCGAGTTGATGGTTAAGGACTCAAAGCCTCATGTATTGTAGACCAGAATAACAAGGGGAAATACTTTATACACTCTGCGTTTTATTTAACTATTTTAACACGAAATTTAATAAAGAAAGAAGTGTCTTAAATATGCCATAAGTTTTTTTTGGATAATAGCGTTCGGGATACATTAATGGTACATTAAGGATACATTGTAAAATGCATGATACATTTTATATACACAAAATTTATACATCGTAGAACAACCTATACACTTTGGATACACAAAAGCACTCGGTATACATTAATGATATGTTATGGGTACATTGCAAGATGCACGATACACTCTATATCCAAATTTTATGCAATGTATATACTAAATAGACTGTCACTCTACAAAAAATACACAAAATAGACTGTCACTGTACAATTTAATAGACTGTCACTATACAAAAAATGTACTAAATAGACATTTCGAGCTATTAAATGTAATATGTTTGGGCCGGAGGGACATTTTGTGTCAATGGGAAAAAATATGAGCTATTAAAATTTTGAGGGGCTATAGAGGGTCATTTTCTCTATATAGATATATGGATAATAATTTGGTTGAAGTTGAAAAAAGAGCAGTTGAAGTTAAAGTTGCCACCCGTTTGACCATAGGAAAAAAGAGCAGTTAGTTATTTGTTTTAGTTTTTTTTTGGAATTTTAGAATTCTTATGTCCAAACGCCCACAAAAGAGTATTTGCAGGATAATACTTCATCTTCTTCAAGTGCTTAATTTAGTTGTGTTATCAAGCTATTTTTCTTTTTGGCGATTTAAATAAAAATATTTACGAAGCATGTTTCAGAGTTGAAAAAGAGTACAATGAGCATTGTAAAAAGAATGTGATTAGCCACAAGTCATAAGTTCAAACCACTAAAAATAGATAGTTAAGTAGAGAAGAATAGAGGGCACATTTATTATTCATCTAAAAAAAGACCAATTGGTTAGGTTGTTTGGGATAAGGCGATACCTACATTTTAAAACAAAACACGTATGTCCAAAAATAATATTAAAGCCATAATTAATGGGAAAATGAAGCATCAATTTAATCGTCACCCCCACCCCCACCATTCCCATTTTTCATGTAAATTAGGTGTTTAATTGCTAGCTACCTATGCTTGAAGGTAGGGGTGTTCATAAAAACCCGAAAAACCGAACCAAACCGAAAATCGAACCAAACCGACTAAAAAAATCGATATTTTTTAGGTTTGGTTTGGTTTTGGTTTTGAATTTTAAAAACCGATCAAAATTGGTTTGGTTTTGGTTTTAATAAAAAAATAACCGAAAAAAATCGAACCAAACCGACTATAAAATTAGCTATTTAAATTTATTATTACACCTATATATGTGTGTATTTTTATATAAAGTTTCTAAAATTTTATGGTACATATTAGTCATTTGTATTTTTAGTCTAGTTCTTTGCTATATAATCATCTGATTCTTTACCTTTACATTCTAGTTTGATTGGTAGTTTTCTTTTGCTAAGTACAAGAATTTATTTCATGTTAAAAATAATCGATTTTTAATTGAATACTTAAATTATTCATCACTATTTGATTCAATTATCATCAATATATCTTGGTAAATAATAGATTTCTCAAAGAGCGATTGATTTGATAGTGTTACGCTAAAAATGTAGTCACCGGAATATGTGTTTGGTAGTGTATGTCTCATATTTAAGATAACAACCGATAAATAACCGAAAAGCCGACAAAATCCAACAAAAACCGAATCGATAAAAAACAAACTTAATTGGTTTGGTTTGGCGAAATACATAAATGGCCCCTCCAAGTTGTCCACAACGGTCATTTGAACACCTCAACAGACCTATTTATCAAGTAGACACCTCAAGTTATTTTTCAGTGTATCTCTTAAACCCTTCAAAGTGACATGGCAAAATGTGTGTACTATACTCGCCTGGCAGCAAGTGAAGCCTTTCAAAATTATGTTTATTTCTTTTTCTTTTTTTAATTTAACTGGTGGCCCACTTTTCCTCACTCTTTCTTCTCCAAAATTTTCTTCCCTATTCACATAGTGAATGTGCAAAACAGAAATCGCCTGAAACAAGAAGGTGAATTACTTATTTCCTAAAATTCACCCTCTTGTATGTGTACTGCTCACAAACTTAAAAAAACCCTAATGTCTTTATAATTTCTTCATACAACTCCAGCTCCAACCCATCTAACATAGAAAAAATTAAAATTGTAGCATGGACCGAGCACTTTCAGTAATTCCTACTGGCAGCAATAACTATCAATATCATTTGAATAATTCTAAAGTTGATTTTAAGAGAGGAACATGAGTTAGAAGATCGGGCGATTACCGGTTGGATATTTTCCGGCGGAACTCCGATGAGATTTTTCACCATTATTGGGTCTGAGAAGTTGTAACAGAGTGTTTTGTGGGGGAGGAGGGCTATGGAGGAGAAAATAAATAAGAAAAAGATCACCGGAATATGTTCCAACCACCGTCGACTCTGATCATCTCTTTCTTTTACGGTGGTCTCCAAGTTTTTGTCATGGACTCATGGTCATCAGCCTTTCTCGTGAGAGGCAACGAGACAGAAGGGGATTGGTCGGAAGGGGTCTTCTTTGACATCGGAAGATGAAGGTGGAGGTGGGGGGATGGGGGGGAGGGGGGGGGGGAGGAGAGAAAGGGCGGTGGAGAAGGGTTTTTTCTTCTTTAAATTTATTTTGTTTTTTGGTTAATTTGTGTTAACTTTTAATTACAAATTACACGTGTCGTTCATCGATTGGCTCATTTGGCAAGTGTAATTCACGCATCTGGTATGCTGTACCGGGGTGTCTATTTGATTTACTTAACAGTCACTTGAAGTGTCTAGCTGGAAATGGTCTCGGTTGAGGTGTTCAAATGACCGTTGTGAATAACTTAAAGGGGCCATTTATGTATTTCGCCTTTTAATAAATTAAATTTATCTCAAAATATTTGACATTTTAGAAAAATAAGGAGCAGGCGTACGTATTAATCACATTCACTGTCTTCGACATTCATATGTTTATAGGTGGAGTTTTTTCCAAAAACCCGCTTAAGATACCTCATTTAGGATATTGGAGAGGAAAAATTGCAATTAGGTGCAGGGGCGGATTTATCCGGAGATTATGGGGTACGTGATCCCATGATCTCTCTACAAAATTAGATATTTTATATATGTATTTAGTAAAATTGGTATTCCCTCCGTCTCAAATTATCTGTCGTGATTTTGGAAAATAGTTGTCTCAAATTATTTGTCATTTTAGAAGTTCGAGAGTAAATTAATAATTTTTTTCCTATTTTACCCTTAATATTAATTGTTCTTGAAGACTACAAGTACCTTAATCATGAGTAAGTATTAAATGAAGAGAGATTATATCTTAAGACATAATAAGGGTAAAATAGTCATACACCTTTCCTATTAATATTTTCTTAAGGGGCACGTAAAAGAGAAACACGACAGACAATTTGAGACGGCGGGAGTATAATATAAACTGTTGGCACCCATGCTCCAAGAAGGTTGAATAGTGCATCTGGTTGAAGAATGAGTTATTTACTAACAAGAATAAGGATCAGGATCAATTCCCACTTAATACACTTTTTCCTCCTTTTTTTTTTTTTGGTAGTGCACACGTGTACTAAAAATTTTAGATCTACCTCTAATTAGATAAGCAAAACATTGAGTACTTGTAAACAAGTTCATTTCGCAAATAAAGCAAACATATTCCAAATCCCAAACATTAATTTCTCATCATTAATTCTACTAATATTATAACTTGCAGAACTTAGCTGCATAACAAAGTCTTTCACATGACTCATCACAAAATAAAACAAACAAAAACTAACACAGCCAAAAAATAAAAGAAAGAAGAAAAAGCCCCTCTCACATATAATTATATAAAAGTAATACTTAGTAACTTACTAGCTAAGGGCATGCTCATTCATGTTATTTATGTAACATTTTTCTTTAACAGTAAGCAACACATTTCTTCTTGCAATCCATTGTACATCCACCAGATCCACCACCATAACCATACCCTTTTCCTTTACTACTGTATGATTTGAAACATTTTGCTGGACATCTAAGTTTCTTTCCTAAACATGGACCTTTTTCCTTACACACAACAGTTGGTCTTATAATCCCACCTTTTGCATATCCACCTTTTGGGCCTCCAATTCCACCACCATATCCTCCTCCACCAAATCCAGGTATATTAAACCCACCTCCAGGCCCAAAAATTCCTCCAAACGGCCCACCATCGTTATCGTTTCCATTCCTGGCTCCGCCTCTGGCTGCTTTCTTGGTTTTTTCGACGTTTTCGGGGGTGTGTCTAGTAGCAAAGGAGAAAGTGGCTGTGATGAGCAAGAAAGCTAAGAGAGTGAAGATGGTTATGGAGTTTTTTGTCTTCATTTTTTTTTGGGTAGGAGAAAGAGAGAGTAGAAGAATGAGTAGTATTTATTATGGGAAAGAGAGGTGGAAAAGCATTGAAGAAAGGGGAGAGAAAAAGAAGATAGTTATAAGTGGATGGCAGTTGGGGATGCTTGCATGAAGACTTTATAAGAGTAGGGTGGGTGGAATTTAATACACTAGAGTACACAAACATTACATTATGGATATCTAATAGTTGTATAATAGACACAAACAAAATATGGTTGATATACTAGTAATGGGAAAATGAGTCAAAGTAAAGGTTGATTAAGAAACATATATTTGTAATTCTTTATATTATAACTTTTATATATGAACTGGTCTTCAAATTTGTCTCCAAGTGTGTTATTATTCAGATAGTCAAACAATTCTTTTGTGCTAATTTTTCAATTATTTGTTAAATTTGGAAACACGTTAGGGTACTCTATATCCCCACCACCACCACCCCAAAAAAGATGGTGGTTCGGATTGGAACTCTTTGAATTTATTGTGGCCAGAAAAGCAAACTCACATGAAATTGTCCTAATGATACTTCAGTCTTCCTAACTTAATCTGATGTAACAATACTTGTCATACATAATTGATTTACTATAAAAGTGGTAACACCATCTTAAAGGCAGTTTCTTAACGAAGCAAATCCCTAAAGACAATAATTTAATAGACAGAAAACGAGAAATATATCAAAAGAGATTTGAACCTTTAAGGGATAATTTATTTCTGTTCGGGTGTACGAACAAAGTTCCATATTGATAGTTGAAAAGATTGTGAGTCTATATATCTCTTAATGATGTGAGGCATTTTGAGGAAGAGAAATTTTCATAAAGCACTATCTTTTAGTGGTAATTAGCTATCTATAGATACCATTTGCTATATTACGGATTGTAGATACGTTTTCTGTTATTATAAGATGTATTAGATGTATTTAAGCTACTGTATTCATGAATACAGTAGCAAAAATAGGCATGAATCAGGGAAGTCCAGCTAATCATTTGTTGTATTCGAGTGTATTCGACTGTATTCATGGCGTGAAACATGGGATTACAGTTGGACATACTATTGTATTGACTGTATTCGACTGTATTCACGGCGTGAAACAGGGGATTACACTATTTTTAAACGGAAAGTGAATCAATTGACATAATAGACTCCTAATATAACTCAACAAACTCAATTATAACACACAAATTTTGTATTTCCAGTTATAAAAAAGATTCTTAACCAAAAAATACCTCAAAAACATAGCAATCTTCAAATAAATTACATAATATATCTGAATACATAAATTATATTAATTAAAAAAACATATGACTACATTCATGGCATACAGTGAATACAATAAAATACATAGAATACAGCGGGATACATTGAAATACAATAAAAAAAGAAGACAGTGAATACAATGAAATACATGAAATACAGCGAGATACATTGAATTACAATGAAAAAAAAGACAATGAATACAATGAAATACATGAAAATACAGCGTGATACGTTCAAAATACATTGAAATATATTAACAGAAAATCAAGTTGCTCAGTCCCAAAATCCGCTGTCTTTGTTCAAGAACAAACCCTAATTTCCGCCGAATCCGCCGTCAAGCAAAAACCTGAATCTCACTGTTCTCACCCATCCTGTATAGTAGCCGAGCAAAAATCATGGCAAGACGTTAAAGCTTGAATCTTGTATTGAAAATTATACAAATTTTTGCTGGCTTCATCTCCTTTGGAGTCCATTTGGGTTGCACAAAATTCATACACTGTTCCCACGTTATTCATACACTTCATCTCCTTTGGAGTCCATTTGGGTTGCACAAAATTCATACACTGTTCCCACGTTATTCATACACTTCATCTCCTTTGGATTCCATCAAGCAAAAATCATACATTGAGGGGAAAAGTCAGAGAAGTCTTCGTGGTATACGAGGCAAAATCACCGTTTGTGACTAATGGTAGGTGATGTGGGTGAGAGGAATTTTGAGATTGAGCATCGTATTTTCAGGGAATGGGAGAAGAGAATGACATGTATCAAAGTAGAGAGAGAAATAAAATAGTGTAACTCAATAGCGTATTTAGTATCTTAGGATTAGGAGGTAACCAAAATTAGATATTTTGCTATAAATATTAAAAGGTATCTATAGAATATAATTTATTAAATGGTATTTATTTAAAATAAATAAGGTGTTAACCTTTGTTATATGAGGTAAAAATTCCTTTGAGGAAAGCCGTCCGGGCTTGGCCCAAAGCGGACAATATCATATCATGTTAAGAGTATCTTTGGGCTTGTTTAGCCCAACAACTGGTATCAGAGCCCAGGTTCAGCGGCATGAGTATGGCGATGGCAAAGTGATGATGCCAAACTTGGTTTGGAGATACGCACACAAAAAGAAACTAGTTGCGGGCTACGGTTATCATAATTACTCTAACATATGTGGGTGGCACATAGTGAGCCTCAGAAATTGACCTGTGGATCATGACAATTGTCCACATGGAACTTAATTCACGGGGGAGACCCGTGAATCGTGGTAGTGAGTGAGCCGCGTGAAACTTAGTTCGAGGGGGAGATTGTTGGGTGTGCAAACAACATTGGTAACTGAAAAGATTGGGAGTTTACATATAAAGTTGTCACGACCCGGATTTTCCCACCCTCGGGGGTCGTGATGGCGCCTACTCGTAGAAGCTAGGCAAGCCACAAATCATAAACTCCTACCTACTTTATTTTAAATCCTTTTATCAATCATAACAACAAGCGTTAAATATTTGAATGACAGCGGAATATGAAATTAAAGCGGAAGACTTAAATTAAATAAGCTGAACACTAATGCGGAATTCAACATGTGCCTCTACCCAAGAACTGGTGTCACATCATCCACGGACTACTAAGAGTACTAAATACAATCGTTTGAAAGAAATATAACACTGTTTGTCTCAAAAACATGAGATAACAGAATAAAATATAAGATAGAGGAGACGCCGGGCCTGCGGACGCGTGCAAGGCAACCTCGGAATCTCGGTGGACTGAAGGCTGGCTCCCGAGCTACTGCTGCTGTCCGGGACCCAGATCTGTGCAAAAGAGCACAGAGTGTAGTATCAACACAACCGACCCCATGTGCTGGTAAGTGCCTAGCCTAACCTCGGCGAAGTAGTGACGAGGCTAGGACCGGACCACCAAATAAACATGTGCAGTTATATAATATACAACAGAAAGTAAAGCAGGAATAAACAAGTAAGGATGGGAGGGGGAAACATGTTGCGGGGAGATAACAGTTGAAACAGAATCTCAAGAGAATTATCAGGAAACCAAAATTCAACTTCTAACAAGGATAAGGAAAACAAAGGCAGGTTTCACTCTCGGTTCACAACTCGTTGCAGGCGTGCAACCCGATCCCATTTCATTAAATCTCGTGGTAGGCGTACCACCCGCTCCCATTTCATTAAATCTCGTGGTAGGCGTACCACCCGCTCCCATCATTAAATCTCGTGGTAGGCGTACCACCCGCTCCCATTTCATTAAATCAACAGTTCTTTCAAATAAAATTTGCTCCAACAAACGCAACAATTAATACGAATTCATAGGACAACAAGTACACAATAATTATGACTCACTGAGGAAAACAAGTAATGACAAGTAGCAATTAATTATGGACTTTAAGGAGCAAATAGGCAATTTAATATTTAGTATGCTAAATGTCAAGTAGCAATTAAGTCACATAAATATGTAGCAATTATAGCATAAATTCAAGGCATAATGTTGCGCAAGGATACCTCGAGCCAATAATAACAAGTAACACAATAAGGGAAAATGCCAACATAAAGAATCACAGAAATAGTGGAATAAGACAATCAATGCACTTGAACCAATAACAACAAGAAAATTAGTAATTAAAAGTAAAGGACAACATAACTCAATTATCAGCAAGAATCGGGAAAATCAAAGACAAGTGCACGGCATCACCCTTCGTGCTTTTACTCTCGTCCTCACCAAGCAATAATATAATGAAAACGTGCACGACATCACCCTTCGTACTTTTATTCTCTTTCCTCACCAAAGAAATTAGAATAATAAAATGTGCACGGCATCACCCTTCGTGCTTTTACTCTCGTCCTCACCAAGCAATAATATAATGAAAACGTGCACGGCATCACCCTTCGTGCTTTTACTCTCTTTCCTCACCAAAGCAATTAGAATAATAAAATGTGCACGGCATCACCCTTCGTGCTTTTACTCTCTTTCCTCACATATAATCAATAGAATTGGCACGGAATGGTACATCGTGCGGCACGGCATCACCCTTCGTGCTTTACACTCTTTCCTCACAATATCAAACAATGCACGGCATCACCCTTCGTGCTTTAACACTCTTCCTCACCCAAACAACAATCATAAACAAGGGCAAGGGAAATAAACAAGAACATATAGGAATCCCGGCAAGGGAACAACAATTTAACAATTAAATCCCGGCAAAGGAGCAACAAGTAAATAATTAAATTCCGGCAAGGGAACAACAATTAAATAATTAAATCCCGGCAAGGGAACATTTCAATAACTCTTTCTCTATCTTTCACGTGTACTCCATAACTCACTTTACCACTTGAGCTAATGCTCCAAAGGGTTCATTCATCTCATATACTTTCACAATTCATAATATAACTCGAGCCAATGCTCCAAAATGTTCAAAGGTCTCAATTCCTTCCACAAACTTTTCACAACAACTAGAAATCATCACCAAAGCATGAAGAACACAACGAAATCATGAAAATCACAATATAAGACTCACGGTCATACTTGACACCAACGTATAGATACTCGTCACCATGCCTATACGTCGTACTCAACAATTATCACATAGCAAATAAGACTCAACTCCTAATCCCTCAAGCTAAGATTAGACCAAACACTTACCTCGATGCCTTGAACATAACTCAAGTCTTAATTATAGCTTTACCCCTTGATTCCACCGCCAATTCGCTCGTATCTAATCACAAATTACTTAATTACATCAATAAGTGCTAAATGAATCAACCCCAATGCATAAAAATGAGTTTTCCAAAGTTTTACCCAAAAAGTCAAAAATCGCCCCCGGGCCCACGTGGTCAAAACCCGAGGTTCGAACCTAAACCTGATTACCCATTCCCCCACGAACTCAAATATATAATTTGTTTTGAAATCGGACCTCAAATTGAGGTCCAAATCCCCAATTTTTGAAACCTAGGTTCTACCCAAAACACCCAATTTTCCCCATGAAAATCTTTGATTTTAGGTTGAAATCATGTTAAAAGATGTTAATGATTGAAAGAAATGAGTAAAAACTAACTTACAATTGATTTGGAAGAAGACTTGTTCTTAGAAAATCGCCTAAGTGTGTTTGGGTTTGAGAAAATATGAAAAATGGGGTTCAAAATCGTTTAAGTGTAAAATTGCAGGTCTCAGATGTGGGAATTGCGAAAAAAGTTTGGGAATTGCGAACATGGGAATTGCGAATAAAGTTTGGGAAATGCGAACAAGCCTGGGAATAGCGAAAAATGTTTGGGAAATGCGAACCTGGGAATTGCGAAAAAAGTTCGGGAAATGCGAATAAGCCTGGGAATTGCGAAAAATGTTTGGGAAATGCAAACTTGGGAATTGCGAAGAAAGTTTGGGAAATGCGAACAAGCCTGGTAATTGCGAAAAATGTTTGGGAAATGCGAAGTCTGCAGGCCTGCAATTCCTTATGTCCAAAATTTCACCCCGTGGCCTATCCAAAACTCACCCGAGCCCTCGGGGCTCCAAACCAAATATACACACAACCTCAAAAACATCCTACGGACTTATTCGTGCGATCAAATCGCCAAAATAACATCATTATCAACAAATTAACCCTCAAAATCAAAGCATTTTTCTCAAACTTCATCAAGTATCAAATTTAGCAATTTAAGTCCGAATCACGTCAAACGACGTCCGTTTTTCACCAAATTTTACAGAAACATCTTAAATCATATATAAGACCTGTATCGGGCGCCGGAACCAAAATACGGGCCCGATACCAACACGTTCTAATCAAATTTCATTTCAAATTTCCTTAAATAATTTCCTATAAAAATTCATTTCTCGGGCTCGGAACCTCGATATTCGATTCCGGGCATACGCCCAAGTCCCATATTTGCCTACGGACCCTCCAGGACCGTCAAATCACGAGTCCGGATCCGTTTACCCAAAACGTTGACCGAAGTCAAATTAACTCATTTTATAGCCAAATTTCTCCATTTTTCACAGATTTTCATATTTAAGCTTTCCGGCTACGTGCCCGGATTGCAAACGCAAATCGAGGTGACTCTAAACGAGGTTTTCAAGGCCTCGGAAACATAGATTTTAATTTAAAGCAAGTGATGACCTTTTGGGTCATCACAAAAGTGTAGGAGTGTGGGAATCTCTTAATGGTGTGAAGCCTTTTGGGAAAAATCATACGGACTTAGTCCAAAACGGACAATATCACACCATATTAAGAGTATCTTCGGGCTGATTTAACCCAACAATTTCCTTTATTTGGTTTAAAACTCAGGCAAAAAGAAAAACTTGATAATTAAGACAATCCAACACCCTAGAAAATATAGTATCTTCCTTTATTATTATTATTATTATTATTAGAATAGAAGAGAGAAAGAAAAGGAAAAAAAAAAAAAAAGGCTACATTGAGATGTCATCTTCAGCTAGTGAACAAGCGAGGACCTTTGTTTGGAAGAAAATGCAGGTTACCATTTGGTCAGGAAATTGCTCCAAAAACCCATTGGTACCACACAACAGTAATATAGGCTTTATAGGAATATAGAATGAGCCCCAAAATTAATGCATCTATACACTTATAACTTTGGCTTTCTATCAAACTTAAAGTCAACAGTCGAAATCCTTTTCCCATCATTCCTTTGGCTTTATTATTTGTTTTTTACCACTTGATTCCTTTTCGTACAACTTGAATTTGAATGAGAGTCTGAAATCCTACAAATAACAAACACGAGTTAGCTTCTAAAGTTTGTAATGTTGTACAAGTGATGAAGTATAAACCAACTCTAGATGTGAGGTCATGGTCTAGTCTCTAGAACTGGAAATGTGAGTCTAATTGCATATTAGAATGTCAAGTGTGACATCGACTTGTACATGCATGATCTTGTAATTACTATTTTTAGGAGTAAAACTAAATCATTTGTAAATTTCTGCGGTGACAGTTCCATCTGAAATGTTCAATTTTAGTTATAAGTTATAACGATTCAAAAGGAGGAGGAGGTAGAAGAAAGAGGAGGAAGATGTGATTTATTTATATTTGCAACTGATGAGCCTTAAGAGATATTCAGGAAAATCCACTCACATGGTTCAAAACAACAACAATAACAACAACAAATCCAGTAGTTTCCCACGAGTGGGGTCTGAGGAGGGTAAGATGTACGCAGCCTTACCCCTACCCCTGGAAGGGCAGAGAGGCTGTTTCCGATAGACTCTCGACTAGGGAACGACTGAAAAAGAAGGTAATTGCAACAAGTAGGAATAACAACAAGATGAAATAAGATTAAATCCAAGAATGCAGTCAAACTCTAGGTAGTAAAAGCCATCTATGGATAAAAAATATCATACTAACACTAATGCTAGCGAACTGAGTAAGACAAAGAGAAACGCTAGACTATCTACGAACCTTCTACCCTAATCTTTGACCTCCACACCCTCCTCTCTAGGGCCATGTCCTCAGTCAGCTCCAGCTACGCCATGTCTCGCCTAATAACCTCTCCCTAAGACTTCTTAGGCCTACCTCTACCTCTCCTGCTACCTACCAAGGCTAACCGCTTGCACCTTCTAATTGGGGCTTCTAAACTTCTCCTCTTAACATGCCCGAACCATCTCAACCTCGCCTCCCACATCTTGGAATTTCCTTCAGAGAAATCAATCTGCCTAAAAGTTGATTTTACTGTACAGAATGAATTCATGGTTCAACAATCAGTACCCAAAGTTGCAGTATAATGCAATGATTTATTTATATTTCCAGCTGATGAGCCTTATGCACACCATTTGACAACATTTGGGCTGAACATATTTTAAGTAACATACAGTAGGTTAAAGACTAGAGGAGTTCCAGCTAGCATCTACAGCCTGGATAATCTTTTCGTGTAGTTTTGCTCCAGCGCAAGCAATTATACCTCGATCAAGTCCTTCTAAGTATACGCCTTTGGAGAAGTCTAGTGGCTGCCCTCCTGCATCTGTCACCACACCACCAGCTTCTTCAATGATAAGAACACCAGCTGCATGATCCCATATTTTTTCCTTGTAACCAGCGCTCGCAAATTTCATGAATATCTCAGCATCTCCTCGAGCTATGGCTGCATACTTCACCATGCTATATACACGTAATGGCTGGTTCCTGCATAAGAGACATCTGAATGCATGAACGTAGTACTTAAAGATGCAGAGTATATATTAACTTTTATTGGTGCGCCTTTTTTTAACTAAAGTCCATACTTTAATTACGCTTTGCGCTTAATGCCTCGATAGACCTAGAACGCTTTTTAACGCTTTTCGCCTTTGACAAAACTATTTTTGCATTGTCTTTAAGTCAAGGAGATTAGCTTTGGAATACAAGAGAGAATTCGGAGAGATACTTACCTAAGTCCAACACTATGGGCCAGTCCTGCTGTGAATGAATGGCTTGAATTTGCCTTCTCAACGGGTTCACAAAAGGTAGCCAATGCTGGATTATCTATGGAGGAGACTTTGATTTGCTTTGCAGAGTTTGGCCACACAAAGTTCTTTTCTCCATACAGTAATGGTTGCATCCAAGCCTTGCCGCCACCTTTCCTTGCATAAAGTACAGAACCTTTATCCCCAGATACAGATGTTTGGGAGGTCAACCTAGATAAGATTCTCCGATAACCATTTTGATAACCAAGCCATTCCTTCTTCATAGGGTAATTTGGACACCCGAGAACCCCAAGCACAGGTTCTCCATCTTCTATCAATGCCAAAGCAATGGCATATTGATCTCCACGTACAAAACCCAATGTGCCATCAACAGGATCCAGTACCCAAAACTTGCTACCTCTGGCGCCGGCCAAGTTGCACCGGCTTATGGCCGCAAGAACAGCTTTAGCATCAAGATCAGTACCAGGACCTTTCAGTCCAAAACGGGGTGCATCTGCTAGACATTCATTCACGGTTCTTACTACTGCTTCTAACAGGCCAACTGCGCTAGCCTTGGAAAGAACTTCCACATCTTCTTCAGCTACGATAGAGACATTCTCACTGCCAAAAGCCTCGGACAGAACCCAGCTGACAATTGCTTGGACACTCCAATCTAACAACATCAAGATTAGCTGATTTTAGCATTTTGAGTACAAAAAGAAGATGTTGCAGTTTTGATGAAGAAGACGGCTAATGCACCATCATCTTGGAAATGCACTCTTGAAGTGTTTCAAAAAGCTTATGACAGAAAACCAGAGCGTGCAATCAGCAACTGAAGCCTAATCTTTTTAAGTTTGAATATATTTCAACTTACCACATTGGACTACATTGCAGCTTATATTACATGGATCCTTAATTTGTTTTGATGTACCAGTCATATGCAGAAAACAGCAAAAAAAAGAAAGAAGGAATATGATCATATACATTTATTCATGGATTTAATAACAAAATGATAATCGATGAGTATAGCACAAAATTTTTCTTGTTTCTCTTTGGCTCTTGCTGTTACCTGTTGACATACATATTTGGATGAAGCAGCCACTCACCACAGAGAGAAAGTCATCAATGAACTTGCGAAGCAAAGTTACTATCTTTAGCTCGATGACTGTTTTATGCTTTATTAAAAGTATACAAGTTGTAGAACATAGATTGAAACATATTACTTAATGCAGTATGTTGTCTTGATACATTTCAAGCTCTAAACCAATATACTTGAAGATTAGAATGAGTTCGTACGCTTTGCAGCTTTGGCTGGACTCCAAGCAAACAGACCATTTGGCTTGCTCTAACTTTCAGACAACTTCCATAGCAGTATAGAAAACCAAAAAAAGTATGTTCCATTTCACCAGGAGAAAATACTGTTTGGCTAGATCTCCAAATAATAATAAATACAATTCAATAGCAGTTCAACTATGATCCTGAGCTGAGTTAAAAACAGTCACTAAATCGATGCGTCTCTTACCGTTACCATCAATTGAGAAAAAGATACCGGAAAGTCATTTCTTTTTACCATAATACATATGTAGCAATAGTTTTTCATGAAACAGACCATCAACCTGTAACCATGCCAAAGTAATCCTCAAGAATTTGCATAATTTTACGGCTAATTCGACACTAAAAATCATACCCCTATGCTCTATTGATGAGTATTTTCTCCCTGTTTCAAATGAACCAAAATACTGTTATCCTCTTTAAAGCACTGTATCGAAAAGGTTCCACCTTTTAGCCATAATTAAGATGCTAAATGCTACTATTATCATACTTAAAATTCATTTTCAACTATCTATCAAAGAATCCAAATCAACAGCACCCAAAATGATTACTTAAAAGACACAATCTTTTCCCTTTTACCAAATTCATCTCTACAACTCAATTCCCTAGTACAATCCTAGAATTCTCCAAAGCCCATTTCAAATAAATAAAATAAAAACGTAACAGCACAAGATAAAGGGATAAGACATGCCTAATTACAAGTGAGCAAAAGCATAAGAATGGAAAAAGAATTACCAGCAATTGTGACAGGGGAATTATCTTCCTTAGAATGGACTTGTTCAAAGGATTTAGAAAGCAAATTATCTTGAACTCTCTGACAAAGCAAGCAAGCCATATGTACAGCTCTTACTGCAATTTCCAGTTCTTTACAATACCCATCTGGAATATCAATTGAGCTAACTTCAAATTTACAATCTTCATCCATTTCAGATAGAAAACTGGTTTTACTACACTGAGCAAGAGATAGTTTGTCCTTGAAACCCAAGTGGGAATTTTTCTTGGAAGAGAAAGAGAGAGTTCCTAGTATTTGGGTTTTGGGAAAAACATCATTAAATTTCCTAGAATGGAACAAAGTATGTGGGACTTTGATTGGAAAGCTAGTAGTAGTACAAGTAAAAGACATAATTGTTGGGATTTTTATAGATCAAGAAAGTAACACGCAGCCACTGTCTCATTCGCTAGGCGCAGAGCATATATGTGGTGAATTTTTTGGTTTCAATGATTAGTCTTGAACAACAATGACTTTTTTAGCGGACTCAAATTGCTTATATATAATCATTATATATAGTCATAGACTCCTGAGGCGTTTGAGATCACATCCCCCAACCAAACAAAGTTTTAGAAAGACATTTATGAGAATATCTTTAGAATTAAATTTAATAATATTTCCTTTTGAACAAGGAATTTATTATTTTTATATGTCCTTTTCTGCTCCTTCCCCATCCCATTTTTCGAAAAATTTTATTTGGTGCCTCACACAAATGAAATTAGGTATGTGAAATCTCTTTTTTATTTTACAATAAATTTGTTCGCGCTTCCCGTGGTTAAATTAATGATATGTTCCTTTTATAAATACATGGATATTAATTTTAAGGCTATTAAAACAGTGCGTTATTACATAAATCATTTTTATCTAATAAATCGTTACAAAAATTATCATTATTGGTCACAGTTAGAGACACTTAAACGTAATACTACCATCTCAATTATGTTATTAAGATTTCTAGTAAATATTTTTAAAAGTTACTACTTTCACGATTTTATATATTTCATAAAAGGAAGAAAATAAAAAAGTTTTTCATTTAATCATATTCTTATTACTTTCTTGATATTTGTAAAATTCCTTGTTGGTTTTTATCTCTTTGTCTGCCCTTCCTTTCCTTATAATTTTTAGTATCTTTTTCATTTTGATAAAATTCTGTTATACTCGTATCTATAAACGTGTGTTGCACGTTAATAATGGCACATGATGGTTTAAATATTTATTTATATGAATGAACAATAAAATTTAATTAATGAGAGAAACTTTATATATATAATACTACAACAATCATCTAAATGCAGAAAAATATTACTATACATTAGCATAATACGTGAATTCAAAATAAAAGGACATCAACAGAACTTACACAAATGATCAATTTTAGTCATGTTAAGTAGATAATTATGTATTGTAGTTTAAAGGTATCTAATGTAATAGTATCTTACTGTCACGACCCTAAACCCAAATCCGGTCGTGATGGCGCCTCTCGTGAAGACAAGGCCAGCCGACACACTTCTAATTCACTTTAAGCAATTAAATAAATAAATACTAAGTCTTTAATAGAATTAAAATCCTAAAATAACAGTGTAAGTTGCGGAACTAAAAACCAACACAGCCCGATATCGGGGTGTCACCAGTCATGAACATCTAAAACAATACTACAAGTCTGAAAGTCTACTCCACTGCTACATAACTGAATCAAAAAGGGAATAAAATAGAGGGAGAATGCACTGGGCTGTGAATCGCCAAGCAGCTACCTAGTAAATCTCAGAAGATCTGCTGGAAACTATCAACCCTCAGTAGCAGGACCTGTAGCGCCCGAATCTGCACAAAGGGGCGCAAGGAGTAAAGTGAGTACTCCAACTCAGTGAGTAATAACAATAAATGAAGACTGAGCGATATAAAATCACGTTAAACACAACATTAAGCTATAAGAGGCAGAACAAAATCAATAAACATAATTAAATAGTGAAATCTCATGATACACCCTTTAAGCAGTCAAACAATATATAGAAAAGACAACTAGAAATGATAAACACATAAGAACCGCCCCTCGGGCAAAGTAACAACAGAACAATACCAGCCCCTCGGGCTATATCTCATATCTCAATGGGTACCCACGCTCACTAGGGATGTACAGACTCCGGGAGAGGCCCCTTACGGCCCAAGCGCAATATCAAGCCATCTCGTGGCATCATAAACAGGCTCTCGACTTCATATCAATCATAAGCCACCTCGTGGCGTACAATCTCAGGCCTTCGGCCTCATTATCATAATCAGTATATCACTGCTGCGGCGTGCAGCCTGACCCAAAAGTATCCTCACAACACAGGCCCTCGGCCTTACTCAGTCAGAATCTCATAAGCCCCTCGGGCAATAGTAAAATATGAAGCTCAGCTCAAAATATCTTTTAAAATATCATTTAAGGTGTTTACAGAATAACTTAGCTGAGTTTTTGAACCCAGTAAAATATGGCATGACTGAGCACAAATGTGAAATCAAATAGTGAGGAAAAATATCCGTAAAAATTCTCTAAGGGTTCAAACAGTTGACACGAAACCCAAATATGACATTTAGCTCAAAAAATAATAATATCAAACAATTAGCTATCAAATACGCAGTGAAACAGTCATTCGGGATGGACTAAGTCACAATCCCCAATGGTGCACGACCCCACGCTCATCATCTAGCGTGTGTCTCACCTCAACACAACCGAACATTGTGTAATCCGAGGTTTCATACTCTCAGGACAACATTTAAAATCATTACTCACCTAAATCCGGCCCGAAATCTAGCTCGCAATGCCTTTGCCCCTTGAATCGGTCTCCGGATGCTCCAAATCTACCAAAATCAGAACGTAACCATTAAATTATGCCAAAGGGACGAAGCCCACTCGAAAATAATCGAAAAACATCACAAATCCCGAAATTACCAAAACCCGACCCCGGGCCCACATCTCGAAATTCGATAAAATTAACATCATTAGATTCCTTATCTCCCCACGAGTTCATACATATAAAAAGTTCCAAAATCCGATCACAAATGGTCTTCCAAAACCTCGATCAAAGGCCTAGGCTTCTAAGACGTAGTTTCTCTAATTTTACCTTTAATTACAGCTCTAATCCGTGCATTAACACCATAGAATCGAGTTTTTAGGTCCGAAATTCTTACCTCAATGAGTTCCCCTTGAATTCTCTCTTCAAAATCGCCCAAAGCTCTCAAATTCGTGTTTAAAAGTGAAGAAACCCTCTGAAAATCGCGAAGGAGGAAATATAACTATTCTGACCCACGCTTTACGCACCTGCGGTCCAGAAGTCGCACCTGCGAGACCGCTTCTGCGGTCCCCATGGCCGCACCTGCGGATTCCACTTAACGGGCCAAAATCACATCTGCGATATGCTGCCCGCACCTGCGCTACCGCAGGTGCGCTTCCCCTACCGCTTCTGCGGTTCCAGCTGGTCAGGCCCTTGGCCGCATCTGCGACCACAATTTCGCTTCTGCAAGACCACACCTGCGGTCCCCTAGCCGCAGGTGCGGTTATGACAGCAATGGGAAACTTCAGCTGCCACAACCAACTTCCAAACTTCCCGTCAACCATCCGAAATCACCCCGAGGCCCCCAGGACCTCAACCAAAAGCACAAACATATCCCATAACCTTATTCAAACTTATACCAATCTCTAAAACACCTCAAACAACATCAAAACCACCAAAACACATTGAATTCAAGCCTAAGGTTCTAAAATCTTCCGCATTCCGCTTTTGATCAAAAAGTACACCAAACCACGTCCGAATGACCTGAAATTTTGCACACACATCAAAAATGACATAACAAAGCTACTGCAACTTCCGGAATTCCATTCCGACCCCTATATCAAAATCTCGCCTATCAACCGGAAAATGCCAAAAACTCAATTTCGCCAATTCAAGCCAAATTCTACTCCGGACCTCCAAATCACATTCCGATCACACTCCTAAGTCCCAAATCATCTCCCGAAGCTATCCGAACCATCGGAACTCACATTCGAGCCCTCTAACATATAAGTCAACATCTGATTGACTTTTCCAACTTATGCCTTCTTAAAAGAGACTTAGTGTCTCAAACCTTCTCAAAACCTTTTTCCGAACCCGAACCAACCAACCCGATCATATATAAAATCGATAATTAAAGCAAATAGAAGCAGAAATGGGGGAAACAGAGCGGAAACTCATGAGACGACCGGCAGGATTGTCACATCCTCCCCCTCTTAAACAAACGTTCATCCTCGAACGAGTTAAGAAACATACCTGAAGCCTCGAATAGGTGAGGATATCTGCTCCGCATCTCCCGCTCGGTCTCCCAGGTAGCCTCCTCCACGGGCCGACCTCTCCACTGCACTTTCACTGAAGCTATATCTTTTGATCTCAACTTTCGAACCTGACGCTCCAAAAAAGCTGCTGGCTCCACATCATAAGTCAGATCACCCTCCAACTGAACCGTGCTGAAATCCAGAACATGAGACGGATCCCTAATATACTTCCAGAGCATAGAAACATGAAATACTGGGTGCACACTCGACAAGCTGGGTGGCAAAGCAAGCTCATAAGCCACCTCCCCAATCCTCCGAAGTACCTCAAAAGGCCCAATGAACCGCGGACTCAATTTACCCTTCTTTCCAAATCTCATAACACCCTTCATGGGTGAAATCTTCAACAGGACCTTCTCACCAACCATGTAGGACACATCCCGAACCTTCCGGTCCGCATAGCTCTTTTGCCTCGACTGCGCTGTACGAAGCCTCTCCTGAATCACTTTCACCTTGTCTAAAGCATCCTGTACCAAATCTGTACCCAATAGCCTGGCCTCGCCCGGCTCAAACCAACCAACTAGAGATCTACACCGCCTTCCATACAAAGACTCATATGGAGCCATCTGAATACTCGACTGGTAACTGTTGTTATAGGCAAACTCTGCGAGTGGTAGAAACTGATCCCATGACTTGCCAAAATCAATGACACAAGCGCGTAACATATCCTCCAGTATCTGAATAGTGCGCTCGGACTGCCCGTCCGTCTGAGGGTGAAAAGCTGTGCTCAACTCAACCTGAGTACCCAACTCTCGCTGTACAGACCTCCAAAACTGTAAAGTAAACTGAGTGCCCCGATCTGAAATGATGGAAACTGGGACACCATGCAAACGAACAATCTCCCGGATATATATCTCTGCCAATCGCTTGAAGAGTAAGTGGTACAAATAGGAATGATGTGCACAGACTTGGTCAGCCGATCCACAATCACCCAAATAGCATCGAACTTTTCCAAAGTCCGTGGGAGCCCAACTACAAAATCCATGGTGATCCGCTCCCACTTCCACTCAGGAATATCCATCCGCTGAAGCAAGCCACCCGGTCTCTGATGCTCATATTTCACCTGCTGACAGTTGAGACACCGAGCTACAAATCCCACAATGTCTTTCTTCATTTTCTCCACCAGTAATGCTGTCTCAGATCCTGA